CTGAGCCACCCAGGCGCCCAAAGATTTTATTTATTTATTCATGAGAGACAGAGAGAGAGAGGCAGAGGGAGAAGCAGGCTCCCAAGGAGCAGGGAGCCCAATAGGGACTCGATCCCAGGACCCTGGGATCATGACCTGAGCTGAAGGCAGACGCTTAACCATCTGAGCCACCCAGGCGCCCATGTGTTTTCTATTCTATACTTTGAATTTGTGGCAGTGAACATGTACCGCTTTGGTAATTTTAAAAGCCCAATAAAAAGATAAAGATACAGGAATGAATAAATGAATGAAATGTAATGTGAAAGTCCTAGTCTGAAGGAAGGAAAAGAAACACATTTAGGAGCAGCGCTACCAAACTTGGGCTCATTTAGTACTTTTAGTCCGACACAAGGGTCTCTTGATCCCCATCTTAAAAATGGAGAAATTGAGACCCTAAGAGGTCAAGCACTTGGCCCCAATTCACCAGCTGATAAGGGACAGAGCCCAGGGCATTTCTGCTACGGCCTGTTTCCATTTGCCAACTAAGAAAAAGGGTCAGAAACAGAAGGACAATGACTCCAGGAACTTTGTTCTTAAGCTTTTGTAAATACTCAGTGCCTGTTATCTTGTTCTTCCTTATTTTTCTTCAGCGATTAACAGTGAATCTCTTAACATAAAAAAGGGTCTTTGTGTTCTGGGAGGCAGAAGGAAAAGCTTGCTGGGGTAGCCAGTCCTGGGAAAGGGGGAGGGTGGCCAATGGTGGGGGAGGGGGGGAGCTCCAGTGCAGGAGAGGAGGAGGGAAGCAGAAAGGGGAGGAGGCAGAGTCCTGGGCCCGCTGGGCCTCCCCCAGACCCTGCACTGCCTGGCACTCCTCACAGGGGCCCAGCTGCGAGCAGCGGGCTCCCCAGCAGTCCTTGCCTCATGGGCCATCAGGTCTCCTAGATCCCAGTGATAGGCTTCCCTCTCCCCAACTTGCCAGCTTTTGCAGCCTGAGCCCCAGAGCCCGAAGGCACTGCGCAGACCCCTGTCTTACCTCCAGTGGTTCTACCTGTGCCCCAGCCTCTTTTCTTCCCTTAGCCCCGAGGCCCAAGGAGTCCAGGATGTGGTCTTGTTTAGTCTCTTCTTCCCCACCATCCTCTACGGATTTTCTCTCTCTGCAGGAAAGGGAAGGGAAAGAACAAGAACACAGTGGATGGGGTTGGATGGAGACACAATGGAGCTGAAGAAATCTGAGTGTCCTCCAAAAATCCTAGCCCTGTCATGTCCATCACCATCATGGTTAGGGATCATGTTTATTGGGCTCTTACCATGGGCCAGGCATCACCTCACTCAGCACTCCAGAATGTCCCAGAGTCCCAGGTCACACAGGCAATCCCTGGCAGAGCCAGCCCCACAGTGTGCCTCCTGAGCTGTGCCGGAACCCCCACGGCGGGGCATCCCGCCTGCTGTGATCCTGTCCCAAAGGAGAACAATTTGTCCTCTGGCCATGGAGCCTTGAAGCCGACCCGATTAATACAAATGCTTCCTCCCCTTTGCTGCTCTGGCATTCCACTTCCTGTCACGGGCACATCCTTTAATGGGCCTGGATCCCCTGATCTGACGCTTTCATCCCCTCCTCAGCTTAATGAAGTGTCTGTCTCAGGTAGAAAATGACACCAGGTCCTCATGCCCCCACCTGTTGGGGTGACCTGAGTTGGGATTTGAGCTAAGGTACCATCTCAGCTAATCCCATGCTTGCTCTGTGCCTCTGCAGAGGGATGACTGCCCCTTCTCTCCCCAGACAACTTAGTAGCACAGATATAACCTGCAAATGCTCAGGGGTATTGCAGACTTAACAGACAGCTGGGGAACAGGCCACTGCATCGCCCCCAGCCAGGCTCTTGAACCCCAAGACCTGGGCATCCTCCGAGAGACTTGTGGGGCCCTGGTGGCCACAGGCTCTGAGCTCCACCAGCAGATGGGGAGCTGCTGCCCGAGAAGCAGCAGCTCCCCATCTTGGGCACCCAGAGGTTGAAGAGGACTAAGCAGCCTGGGAGGATCACAGCCTGTAGGGAGTGGTGCCAGGGGTCCCAGGTTACTAATTCAGGACCTTGTTCACCACTGGATCCTCAGCATCAGCACCATGCCAGGTACAAAAGAAGGGGCAATAGACTTTTAAGTCTGTCTCCCTGCACAGGACCGGAAAGGCGTGGGCTCAACCCTGGGGGTGTGGACATACTGCCAAAGAGTCCAGAAACCTGTCAGGTCCAAAAGTCATGAATGGAGTGCTTTGAGCTGCTCAGGAGTCAGGTATCAGACCCCTCTGAGACCACCGAACTCCTTACTTGCGAATGGAGACAGGTGAATAAGGGCTTCCACCCTGGGGCCGAGAAACAGGTCTGACCCTCAAAGGAGACAGACTTCTCATTCGCACATCACTTTCTACAGTTCTCATGGCCTGGTGCACGGAAGCCACACGTTTGTCCAGGCTTCCTGACTCTTCACACACATAGACCTCCATCTCCATGTTGTCCCCTCCACTCAGTGGGAAAGGTTTAACTCTGCAGATGAGGAAAGGTTAAATGCTCTCATCAGGGATAGAAACCCGGCAGGGAGAGAACCTGGACACTGGTCTGGACCTCAAATACCTCCTCAGACATTTTCCAAGTTATAGTGCTTTTAACTTTGGTGGAGAGATTCTTGTCTCCTCTGCTGGATTGAAGGCTCTGGGTGGGCAACAAAGAGTTTTGTATCTTTACTTCATTGAATCTGTTTTTTTCCCTTTTTTTGGTAAGATTTTACTTATTAATTTGACAGAGAGAGAGAGAGAGAGCACAAGCAGGGATGAGGAGCAGAGGGAGAGGGAGAAGCCAACTCCCCGCTGAGCAGAGAGCCCAAGGGGCTGGATCATGACTGGAGCTGAAGGCAGACACTTAACCCCGACTGAGCCACCCAGTGGCCCCGTTGAATCTGTTCTATTCATCTAAGTATGCACGTAAATGCAATGGTGGATGAATGGAATTAAATGAACTTTAGCAGAAACTAATTCTTCCTACCAGACCCTCACCACCCCTCCCACTTTTACCCAAGTATCTCAACAGCTTATTTTTTCCTTCGCTTTGTTGGCTTGTCGTTGGACTCAGTGTATACATAAAGAGCTCTGAGCACAGACAGTTTGAAAAGGGCAAAATAAAAATAGCCGATTAGTCGATAATAGAATGGCAAAGTCTCTAAGTACCATGGGGGAGGGCCTTAGTCTTAAAGCTGGCTGGAAAGAGATGAGGTGGGGTAGGCAGAAGCCTCTCTGAGAGCTGGGCTTTCTCTGAGGTGATGCAGATGGTTCCTCCTGGTCAGTGGAGATGGGAGGGAACAGCCAGTCAAAGGTTCTTTCTGCTTTTGTTCTGTCTTGGCCAGTGCCCATCCCAAGGCTCCTGTTCCTTACCAAACTGGCCTGCTAGATGCTCACTGTGGAATGGGAAGTGAGGTGCCTGTCTGCAAGGGACTGCTTCAGTCTGGCCTAGTATGCAGGACCCTCTACCCCTGCTAACAGTACTTAGCTAAATCAGGCCTCTCTACCACCACGTCCCCTCCCATGACACTGTACCTGATTGTTCCTCTCTGCTTAGGCTCTTTCTGGCTGGTATTGATTGCTGCTTTTATTGGCAAGCAGTATACCACGAGAAAAATAAAACACAAGTGTTTGTGCAGGGAGAGAGTAAAATGGCTTCTGTGTCTCCAGGGCTGGCAGAATACTTGCTCTGAGACCCAGTGGTCAACCTGGTACCTGATTCTCCCCTCAGTGCACCTCTGCAATTATTGTAAGGACGTTGGTCTGTCTGTCTCCTTCCCCTTGACAGGGCAGGCGGCTGTGGTCTTCCCCACACCTCCTAAGTGCTTAGTGCTCAATTCATAGTTGCTAACTGACACCAAGGTAGGGCCTTCCAGGAAGCAGTCATTTCAGGGCTAGGCCTGGCGCCACACCTCTCAGCTCATTTTCACGTGTCTGCCCCAGCTGGCCAGTCACCACCACAATTGGGGGTTAGGGGTTTGGTCCCGTAGGGCAGGCAACAACATCAGCTACATAGAACATTCAGAGTTCTCCTGTCCTGTTCAATGCCTAGGCCAGTTGTTCCCATAAGCTTGGAGAGGTGGTGCCCTATTATTATTCTTACCCCCATTTTAGAGCTGAAAGACACTCCAATGTGCCTTACCAGTCACACAAGCCTCTTCTTAAAATAGCAATGTGGGGGGACTCCGATTTGTGCCCAGGTTCAATTTCTTCATCTGTTATATGGACAAATAACACTACCTCTTAGGGTTGTTCAAAGGATACTTGTTGATGGTCTGTTTCTGCTCTTGACTGTAAAAAGTGGGCAGGGACTTTGGCTTGTTCACTGCTACATTGTCAGAGCCTGGAACAAGTGTCCACCCGGCACATAGTGGGTGCTCAGTATTTGTGTCCTAAATGGAAATGGCATGAGAAGAGCCTGGGCCAGACCCTGACGCTTCCATCTGCTAGTCCCTTCTATATCCTTAGTTCCCCAGATTCTCCTCCCACCAGGTAGTCAGTGGCCGAGGGGTGTCGGCCTGGGGGCTAGGCCCCGGGAACCTACTTCTGGCCTTGGGACAAGGTCGGCAACAATACTCCCAGGCCAGAAAAGTCTCCAAGGGCCAGTGTGCCATTCCGGTGGACCTGAAGGCCTCAACCCTCAGGTTCCCCTTTTCTTTCTTTATATCAGGAAAATCATCCACCACCACCACCCCCACCCCCGCCTGCCCCGGCACAACGCCGTGCTGCTTCCGAGGTGCCTGCAGAGAAGGGCCACCCTGCCCCGAGCAACAGCTTTCTGGGGAAGGAGCCCAGCACGCGACGCCCGGCTAGACTGCAGCAGAGGAACGGCGAGGCCAGGCGTGCAGGCCCGGCGCAGGAGACCCGGCCGCACCGACGCCCAGCAGGCCGGAAAGGCCGGCGGGAAAGGGCGTGCGAGGAGAAGGGCGGGGCGAGCGTCCGCCCGCGGCTCCCGCGCTCAGGCGCCGCTCCACCTTAAGCTCGGGACCCCCTTAAGGGCGGGCACTGGAGCCGCGCGCCCGGAGGCGGGGTCTCCCATGCAAATGAGGGGCGTGAGTCGGCGGGGCGGGGCGGGCGGGGCGCTGACCTGACGTCAG